TATATAAACTGAAACAGCTGGACTAGTGCATCCTAAATTTAACATAAATCAATTATATTTAATACAACAGTCATTTCTGTATTGTTTTTTTGGGGAGGTCACCTCCTAATAAATGTCATTACAGTAAATCTAACGGCTCATTTTAAATCAATACTTTTACTTTTAATACTTAAGTACAAAAAATATCAGATACTTTAAGACTTTTACTCAAGTAATATTCCTAAAGGAGACTTTAACTTTACCAAAGTAATTTTTTTGGTAAGATACTTGTACTCAAGTATCACTTTTTGGTACTTTATACACTGTGTAGTTCTGAGCATGAAGGGCTCAATGACCAAGAAATGTTCACTTTTCTGGGTTTGCAAACCTGCTGCTGAACATTTATGAGTCCTTCTCTTCATCAGATGTGTTGTTCACWCACACATTGAACATCCTCTGCAGTTTTGTTTAGCTCTGTTCTCAGTATCACTCTACTGACCAACAGGGTGCATCTGTGCCCGTAGAAATATTCTGCAAAAAATGTTTTTGTTCATGAGAGGGTAGGCTTGGGCGTCTGTGTGCGCTGGATGGAAAAACAAGCCATATTTGATCCTCAGAAAGAACCACAGTTTTTAAGTGATCCAGACACCAACCAGTCTGCTGGGTCATGTTTGAGCAGCGACACCACAAATGTTACTTTTTTTTTACTTAGACCTTCAGATTTGACTAAAAATTATAGAAAATAAATTTATTCCGTTAATTGTTTCTGCAAATATCATGAAGCCTTGTTCTAATAAATAAATAAATAAATCTATCTAATGGTACTTTTAACATAACATCCCTAAACTTGAAAATGGGTCAGTTTGACACAGGTGGTACTTGTTTTGGTTAATTTATAGTTTCCTACTACTACCCATTATACTCTACTTGTTTTTTCTTTCACCCTCTGTAAATGTTTTTTTTTCTGGATCAGTGTTTCTTTGCACTTCTTACCTTTGATGTAAGGGTACAGACAGAGGGGCACAGCTGACCAAACTGAAACCAGAGCAGGGTTAAGGCATGTGGGACAGTTATTAATAACAGTCTATGTGAGAGGTTCCATTTGTATCATCTTCTTTTTATGATGGAGATAATCCAAAAGTTAATGAAGTCAGATTAARGCAGAAAACCTAAATTATAGATTTTCAGGAGATGCAGGTTTAGTCTGAGTATTGTAGTTCAAAACAGCAGGATTTAATAAATTCAGCTGAATTAGTCTCATTCTGATGCCGCATGCCTGACTGGATCTCTCACAGGATTTAAGAAACATGTGTCCGACTTCCCTGCTTTTAAATATGTAAGATACAGTATTGCCAAAAGTATTTCCTCAGCCATCCAAATGACTGTGCACCAGTGACACAAAGCAAAGCCCATAAAGACATGGATGGCAGTCTGCAGAGTCCTGACCTCAACCTGATAAACCTTTGGGATGAATTAGAGTGGAGACTGAGAGCCAGGCCCTCTGTCCAACAGTATGTGACCTCATAAATGTGCTTCTGGAAGAATGGTCAAAACTCCCCATAAACACTCCTAAACCTTGTGGACAGCCTTCAGAAGAGTTGAAGCTGTTCCAGCTGCAAAGTGTGGACCAACGTCATATTGAACCCTATAAATCAATGGGATGTACCTTAAACTCATATGAGTGAATACTTTTGGCAATATAGTGTATTTCTAAGTGAGCTTAGTTTTTTTTTTAAATCAAAAGACAAATCCCAAACAATTCTTATTAAAAACCTTTTATTCTTTAGTTTGTTAGATTTTCCAATAATTTCTCTTTAAGCTTGTCTTACCCACTTAACCCATCCAGCTCTATTCCCTCGAGTCACTTCTAAGAAACCATCTGCATTTAATTTCCCCCGTTGCACACGACCTTTATGACCCTCTACGATCAAAATAACCACTCCTCATGAAACAGCCCAACACATGGAAGAACACAGGAAAACACTGAGATGCCTAATCAAACAAGGATAATGGTACTACACACAATGAATCAAACATTTGTGTTAGCCATTTGCTACCACGGCAAACGTTTTGTTCGGGAGGGAAAAAAAATAATAATGCAAGAACAAATGTCACAAACATGGAGTGTAGAGCCTTAAGAAAACTTAAGAACAAGCTTGAAACTTTCAAGTGGAAAATTAAAAAAAATAAAAAAAATAAACRGCACCTAAGATCACAAAGATAAGAAACTGTATATACAAAGATAGCTGCAGTTTTGTTCTTTGTGAGAATTACTGAGTCTGAATATCACAGTGAGTTGTTGGTAAACTGTGGTACTCATTGTGGTTATTACAAGCATAGAGCGTATACATTCAAGCTATACATATATATATACCTATGTACATAAATAATAAGTCCATTCACCCATCTTCTACCGCTTTAAATTATAAATAAAACCACAAAATGAGAACCCCAAAACTATAGTACTTTTTACAAATTCAAACTCTAAAAACCTTTGTAGGAATCAGTCCAGAACAGCTCAACTTCTGCAAAAAGAGGAATCCAGCTAAACAAACGCTCATTTTGGTGTAGTTGATGTTCAAAGTACTTTCCTGTGGGGACAAACTCAAACTAAAATACGAGGAAAACTACTGAGCCTCCTCTACTCCACCTTTTATTCAAGCTTGTTCTTAAAGACTCACAGGCTGCCAATTACAACTCAAATTTTACTTACTGTTGCTGTACAATATACTTCATTTCCAACACTTCTTAAGACCTTTAAGCAGGTCGTCATTAAAAAAAATAAAAAATAAAAACAGCTAAAGGGGAAAAAGTAGTTATTTTGATCATAGAAGCAATTGAGGTCACTTTTAAAAGAGGAAAAGAAAATACAAGCAGGGGGAAACCAGGGGAGATTAAAGGTTTAAAGGGGCAGCATCTTTTAATTGATTTTCAGAACATGGATCATGTTTTTAAACGACTTCAAATTGTATTACTCCTTTTTATTTCTTTTTTTTTTTTAAACGGAGTGTTCATATGAGGGAGTGAAACTCAATCAATGGAATGGGACGAAACTAYTGCTTAGAAGAAAAATACAGTTGAGTTTTATTAGGTGGTCTTTAAACAGAAAAAAAAGTAATTTAAAGCTACAAATATTTGAAATATTTGAGTGCCAATCATTTAACAAATATTTAGGAAGTGTAGTTCACCCCCACAGTTTCCTTTGAATGCCCCTCTGCTCGTTGCTCAGTCTCAGTGCTCCATAAGAAACACAGGTAATGCTCAGGGAAAATCTTAGAAAGCAGAACTTAGTTTGAACCTACTTGAAGTTACATGTCGTCGTTTTTAAACCCTTACGTCGAACTTTTCCACAGTCACCTAAACACTTCAACACTACAGGTGGGACAATTTAAAAAGGCCCTTTTTTTGTGAAATAACATTAAAAGTGTACTGTCTCTCTGAATCTCATCGAATCCCTGGGGTTGGTAATAAGAGGGTCTGCTTAACATTTTCTCCAAATCTCTCTCCACTCCCTTCACCCTAACCCCCCCAGCTCTTTGGGGCGGGTGCTTCAGCCCGACTTGGCTCCGACCAGAGTCATCAGTCCATCAGTGCTCATGGATTTAGGGCGCTCCAGTGGGAAGCCCAGGGCTCTGCTCCACACCAGCTGAGCGAGTACGCCGAGAGCACGAGACACGCCGAAGAGGACGGTGTAGTAGTTCATCTCCGTCATTCCATAGTACTGCACACAAAGAGTCAACAGTCAGCCAGTGTTCCTGCTGTTACACAACAACATGTACGACTGCAGCTTACCTGCAGCAGCACTCCACTGTGGGCGTCCACGTTGGGCCAGGGGTTCTTGGCTTTACCCTGTTCAAGGAGCACATTGGGTACAATCTTATAAAGCTGGGCAACCAACTTAAACATGGGGTCGTTGGGGAGATGCTTCAGGGCAAACTCGCGCTGGCASGTGTAACGTGGGTCGGTCTTCCTCAGGACAGCATGGCCGTAGCCTGGAACCACCTGCAGGCGAGACAGCAACAACCTCGTTTCATACAGGTGTTAAAAATGCTACGAGTGCTGCTGCTTCTTTGACTAACAGCAGAATTATGACATGTTAAAGGGTAAAAGACAAAATAGGTACAAGTTGATCTCTGAGTCGTTACACAATAGAAGGGCCCATGAGATTCTGACCTGCCTAAGGCTTGTTGTGACATTTACTGAATGTCGGAGCAACACAAACTCATGACAGTGAGTACAACTGTGTGACAATGTTCTGCATCTTTACCCTCCCAGATTTCAGCGTGTTCCAGATATAATCCCTCATCTTTTCATCAGACACCTCTCCTCCCAGCTCTTTCTGCAGGGCAGTCAGCCACACCAGCACTTCCTGGAACATACAGCAGAATGCACAAACTCAAAACATGKTTTTTTTTAAAGCAGCACATAAAGAACAACATTAAAGCATGCTGCTGCAGTCGGTGTCGCTGCTTAGAAATACAAAATGTTATTGAGAACAAATCACTTTACTGTCAGTTACACTTACAAGCCCAACACTTTCAACTGAAATGTACATATTAGGACCACTAAGAATACAAACTCAAGTATTTTTTTGTTTCTGACAAAAAAATTTTTGTTTCAAATTGAAATGACACAAAAAATATTCCGGAATTAAAAAAAGTATAAAAGATAAATTAAAACCAAGGCCTATACGAGATATAAGGTTGATACTCTGAAGGATTGTAGGACGTTCTGTGTCAGGCCTGTTCAACTAAATTGCTTCGGGGGCCACAGTTACTGCAGGCCAACAGCTCAGGGACTGAACATCCAACAATTAGTTATTATGTAAATAAACCAAGTATTACAAAGATCTGTTACCTTTGAAATTATTTTGCTGCATACAGAAACCTAAGTAGTGATAATTAAACAATATCAAAAACAAAAATAACACATTATGCCTCCTATTTGACACAAAATATTGACATCTCTGACTTGCCAAAAATTTAAACCAATATTATTTTCACTTTCATAGTTTTATCTTCAACTGCTTATAATTTTAACTGTATTGGATGTCCATAGAAATGTTTTTACCAGCTTCTAGACAAGATATTGATGTTTCTGTAGATATCAAACATTTCTATGTTTAACTACAGCACCTTGTGAATATATTTCTGTGAAAGGCACTTTATAAATAAAACTTTACTTACTTACTTACTTAACTACAAAACTTAGTAGTAGTATATTAATAGTAATTATAGTAAAAAAAACTGGGGGTTTGGGCTTAAGAAATGAATGAACCAATTGGTGGGCTAAACTTTGGTCACTCGCAGGCCGGATGTGGCCCGTGGGCCGCCAGTTGAATATCCCTGTTCTATGTGCTTCACTGCTGCAGGAGTAAGAAATTGCACTCAGGACTGGTTCAAGAAAATATATTGTGTGCTTATTTTTGGAGTTTACCTAATAAAAGTGAACTCATATCCCATGGATGATGATAATAATAATAATAATAACAATAATAATTTAAAAAGCCCCTCGCACTGCGACTGCTGCATATGAGCACCAGTGACCCCCGGGACCCTGAAAGGAAGAAACGGTATAGATGATGGATGGATTTTTAAAAAGTTAGAACAAATACAGACGGATTTAGGAGCACAAAGTACTTCACTTCCTCTGGTTTAGTCTTGAAGTAGTTTTTTTTTAACACTAACTTTATTCTGAAAATACTATTTTGACTTTTTGCTCAACATTCAAACTGTATTTCCAAAACCTTTTGATTTAAATGTCAGAACTCCAAAACAAACTGAGTTCCTTTCACTCATCTCTTCCAAGTGTCTGTACTGTGTGGTCAGACTGAGTGTATTTAATTTGACATGATTTCAATTCCAAATGCTTTTCAGATTCTAGAGCCAACATAAACCAGTCAATGTTTTCTAAAGTGGTTAAAAAAAGAAAATAAAAAATTAGGGATGCACGATATATCAGCATTATCTGTGTCAGTCTGATAATTAAAACTGGGAAGTTCAGTAGTGATTTCCTGCTTGTTGTGGTTTCAGTTTTGGGAGGGGAAGTGGTTGGTCGAGTGGCATCTGTGTGACCATGATAGTGATAGTGAGGCTGCGCAGCCACGAACAACTGAAGCAGAGCCATGTCAGCAGTCTGGTCATTTTTATGGTATCAAAAAAGTGTGTTTGTTCATATACTGTATGTGTCTAAATAATTTSTGTTTGTGTAATATCGTTAAATGCAGGCTATAGACCATTTTCATATCAGTGCATCCCTAATCATACAATATGTGCAAAGAACATTAATTATTGCTGTAATATATGAAGCTTCTTGGAGAATTAAATAAAAACATTTTTCAATGTCTTTAATAAAAATAAGYTCACCAGGAGCCTACTTGACAATTCCAAGAGCTGAAGATTTACACTAATAACTGATGTGTACAAACCTGATTGGCCAGGCCATGCAGGGGACCAGCCAGACCGTTCATGGCAGCACTGAAGGACAGGTAGGGGTCAGACAGGGCACTCCCCACAAGGTGGCTGGTGTGGGCACTGACATTGCCTCCTTCATGGTCACTACAATATGGTAGATAAAAACAAACAAAATGTTAGACGATATTTATTAATCAAACACAGTAGCTTAGGAGGTCATTCAACATTTTCATTGTTTTCAAAAGCGTACAAACTGAACACTGGGTCTTAAAAAGGACTGGTGTATACTTTTCAAAATGAAAAAAAAAAAATTACACTTTATTTTTTTACATGGCCTGAATGACAGATATGCCGCTATACCCCACAGGGAAAATATTTAGCTCATTCAAATGGAAGTCCTGTGAAATGKCTGCACAGACCAGTCCTTCATCCAGCGGTTCACCAATCACAGGTGAGGCTTTCAGGAATGAAGCAAGTGCAACCAAAAGAGGCGGAGCAGAACTCTGCTGGGCTGAAGAGGAGCCTGATGCATTAAACATGTGTCAGGTGTCTCTCCACGTATCATTTGCTRATTAAAACGAATAAATTCACTGCAGCGATCCTGGCCATCAAAGGCAGGCTCTCTCTGAGTCACACTGTGTGCACAGCTGTCTCTGATCCAGCTCTCCAAAAACGAAGAAATCTGTGTACGACCCCCTTAGCATCTTTTCTTAATCATTACTACAGGTCTTAACGTTTGTTTTCTGTGTCGTCATATTAATAAAGTTCAGTTCAAAGTCTTGTTTTAAACTCTGTATATGAATAGTATTGCCCATTTTCTGAACCAATAGCTATCTAATCTCATTGTGACATAAGCAATTATTTCACATGATCATGTTGGTTCTGCATCCATAAGTTACTTTTATTACTAATATCCTGTTTGTCTCAAAGAATTATGAGAAAAGGGTAAGAGACAGATTTTAAAAACTAAAACAACAATTAAAGTGTGTTATACTAAAAAATAATCAGCTCCCACTTCTTAGCCTCCAAGTTTTTGGTAAATCGGTCATTACCAKGTCTGCAGGGCTCTATAACKTTTTGCACTGGTTGCACAGGTGTGCCTAACTTTTCTTTCCGTAGGCCCAAGCACAAAGTTAGGTGCACTCAAATTTCCAACAGCGTTGYRTTTAACATGGCAGTTTTACAGGTTAGCTTTTTCTTTTAAAYAGTTGTACACAAAGGCAATATTTACTCTTAAATAATTAGTTAATCTAGTTCCTTATTAGAACCAGAATTGTACAAGAAACAATTTAATGAAATAGTATTTAAAGTGATTCTATGACCTGAAATTTTAATGTAAACATCTCAAGATAAATGAAATGAAAGAAATCAGTGCAAATGTTTAAGGGCTGAACACCTCACAAACATCTCAAACTGAACTTTTCATGATTAAATGTCTTTTAGACACATGCCCATCAGATGAACAACTCCTGTAGTTTGGCCTCTGGATCTTCGGCCTTGGTTAGACCAAATTTCCACTTTCCCTATCAGCAAGTCAGCACAAAATAACTGAAAACTGCATTTTTTTTTAATTTTTTAAGACTGGTTGATTTCTCTTTTAAAATTACTCTTTTGTAATAAATAAATTAAATAAAGATTATAATATTTAGATGGTTT